TCACACGGTACACATACGTCGTTCATAATCAGTACATCCGATTTTTTCTATTAAATCATGATGTTTTTTTCAATACATTGATGCATAATTTAATAAAGCGAGATATTATTTAACTGACTAAATAAGTATTTTATCGACCCAATTTAATATTATTGCGCTATAAGGAGTTGTATCTTTGTTTAAACTTGTGGATTTCCCTTTATATATGTAATCAAATTGATATAATATTTCATTACATTTATAGTATTAAATTTTAAGAATATATAGTATCTTGTTAGTTTCATAAAATAATTTATTGGAATATTCTATAAATTCAATGATATTGATTTCATTGATTCGAGAATTCAAATAATCTTTTGCATGTGATATTTTCATTGAATCAATCAAATATTTTATTGAGGATATTGCATTGACTCTATTATTTTTATTACATTGAATCAATGATTATCACTTTTGGCTAAATAAAATATTTCATTGATTCAATTAAATATATTTTAGCAATGAGTGGTGGGTTGATTGTTTCAACGAATGCATTTTCCTCTCACATATTTAATCAAATTAATATAATATTTCATCAAAAAAATAAAATATTCTATTGGTTTGATGAAACATTTTAATGGAATATATTTTTTTAATTTGATGAAATTAATTTCATTGAATTAATGTTTTGAATAATTATTTGTATTTGATAATTTATAGATTTAATCAAATATTCAATTGACTTGTAAATCAATAAAATATTTAATTAATTTTAATCATATTTTATAACTTCTATACTTTTTATAATAAAATCAATTAGGTTTAATAAATTTAACGAAATTTTATTAAACTAATTACATGTTTCTTTGATTCAATGAAATTTTTTTCTCAGTGTATGCATGCTTTGCGCGATGTTCCTTCGAGAATCCGGGCTATTTAAGAAAGCTGCTTCCCCCGTAGCAGCTTTTTAGATACATCTGGGCGCGAGAAAATTATATGATACGTACGTTTTACGTACGAGAACTGTCGCAGACTTTTCGCTGTGGGAACATGGCGTGAGCTCGCGAATCGTCTAATAAATGAATCATTAGAGCAGGCTGCAGCGCTACGCTGGCAAGATTAATCGATTATTATTTCTGCGCATGCAGCTGTAACGCTTGGGATTTTATCATTATCATTGCGTTATGTACGCTTTGCGAGCTTTCGTTATGGATTAACACGGATTTATAACGCGGAATAATAATGATATTATTAATCATGCCAAGAGGGAGGAAAAGGATGCGCGACGGAAAATGAAGAAGAGGAAAAAAGGTGCAGACGACGACGGAGAGGACGATTCGTCGCGCTGCGAATGACTTTTTTTTCTTTCCTGCTTCCTTCTGACTATCTACCGCTTCTACTTGTACAGCTTTTGATACTGCTACTGCTGATAAGGAACAAGTTCGCCCGAGACTAGCAACGCTACGTGTAAATTATATACGTATCGTCGAAAGGTCATCTTTCTTTTCTGCCTCGAGAGCTAGAGATCTCGCTGCGAGCGTGTACGCGTGTGTTTGTTTACGTACGTCTAACGCGCGAATAAAAATATAAAGATGCCTCTGGCTGCCTCGACACACGCAGCAGCGTCCGATGAAAGAAAAAAAAAATAACCGAGAGCTAGAGGAACGAATGAGCGTCACGTGCAGAAAACGCTGATGATCGTAAGGCGCATTTGCGTCGCGTAACCTGGCCAAATGTGCAATACACGTATATGCGGAAAAATCTCTAGCCAGTATAGATATGCTGAACACTGCAGCAGGCAGATCTGACGCTGCGCACGCGCCTCGTCTTCTTTTCATCTCGTGTTTTCGAGAATAAGCGATACACGCGTACGATATACAACCGAGTGTTTTTCATTTCTCAACCACGCGTCTTTGTGCTCAAAATGCTCTTTACGCTTTCTGCTATTGTACTGGTAAATTATCATACTTGACCTTGTAAATAAAGGCAATATCTTGAATTAAAGTCAAAATGACAGCCGTCGAAAATTGAGGGAAGGTCAATAGCCCCGGAGCAAATTTACACGTCACGGATAAGATACTGACGAATTTTAATATCACGTTGCAGCATCAAGAGCACGTCCAGCCATGCCGAATCTGTATTGACGTGCATACATGTATGCAGTTTTACACAGACGATCTACTTTTTTTTTCTTACTCTACTCCTCTTACAGTTGAATCGCTTCTGCCGCACACAAACGGCTGCACAGCATATATTAATGTACACTGAATGTCTTGCGAAGAAGTGGATATCCTATAGATATATCGACGCCTCGCGTTTCCGAGGCAGCTTCTTCTCCTCGGCCGCCACCGGAGAACGGTTTGCCGAGTTCAGCATGACTCGACTGCAGTCCGTTTAGACAAGAGTCGTTGAACTTATTCTTTCGACGTGGATGGGAATAAACGTGCGTATGTATTTAGCGAAAAGTGATGGGCTGTTTATGAGTAGCGGCGTGTCGTCACTTAGTTCCTGTCATACTTGCCAGGTGGAGCGCGACATGCGCTCCTCGATGCCAAGAAATTCTATCAGAAGAGCGGACTCATTATTGTCCATTTTTTATTCCGAAAATTGGTTCGTTCGGGCAAAGTCTAAATAATAGCTCGAATAATCGTTTTTGGGACATTCTTTTTTACAAATTCTAAAAAAGAATGAATGCGAAATTGGTATTCATTTCTCAAAAAGTGTAAAACAAATCGAATAAAGTAAAACTATGCAGGAGATGAGTAAAAGTTTGAATATAGGTCAAGATATTTAAACGAGCGACTCCGTTCCTGAACGCGACGGGTGCAGTTTGTAATATAAATATTTTTTTCCTCGGATCAAATCATTAGGGGTCCTTTTAATGCGACAGTTTTACTCATGCTCTACTTCGTTTTTTTACTAAATAGCGATCGATTTTCCACCTACGGAGAATTAATAACGTAATTAAAAGTCTAATGGAAGTCCATCTATGAATTCAACTTAATTTTTAATTTCTTATTGACCAAAACTGGAAAAAGTTGAATGCAAGCGTATTCATACAAATTTTAGTAAATATTCTTTATATTAAAATAAGAGCTCTTAGAAAAATTAATAAAAAAATGTTTCTTTTGTCAAATTTATTCTAATCGAATGAAAACACTATTCAAATAAATTTTCCAAAGTTGAATTTTATTTTTATACTCTTTAAACTATTCACGTAATTACTAGTAAAAGATGATTATAAACCGTTTTGGGAGAAATGAAATTGGACCTTTCATGCATTTATACAAAAAAGTAAGTGTTGAGAAGAAAATATACTTTTTTAATCTTATTTTTTTCGTTATTCTCAACGTTTTAACGGCTTCAAAAAAACAATTAATGGTCGGGAACAAAAAATAAATAAACTTCAAGAAATAAATTTTTTCTCAAACACTGATTACGCTTTATAAACGCACTCTAAAAAGTGTTCCAAATAATACGCATACCCTATGAAAATGAATAAAAAAAATTCTTTAATAATGTGTAATGCCGAAACTGGCATTATCTGTTGGGCCGCCCTGACGAACCATCGTCGATTTACCGAGTGTATAGTTAGTTATAAGAATCGTTATTAATAATTGTATTTTAAAAATGATTTCATGTGAGCGCCAAGTGTGAAAGAATAGAACGTAAACACGCGTATACGTTGAGATACTAGAGCGTACATATGAACGGAGAAGAGAGTCGAAGATTTGCCTTGAGAGCGAACGGAGCTCGAGTGTGAGAGTTGAGCGCGACATCCTGGGGGATGTCTAGGTCGGATTGACGAGTACCGCGCGGCTAGTAAGATCCTACGTCGCCGGAGTAAAGAGTGCGAGGGCCGGTACGAGTCGATCTGAGTGCGCGAGAGAGAACCAGCGGATCCAACGGCCGGGCAGACCACGAGGACGACCCAGGGTGGATCTGGACCAGGAGAAGATCTCGACATCGTGTGGTGAGTCGGGCGGCCCAGTTCTTAGTCGTTGTATTTGTGAGTCGTACGCGCCGACGCGCCCACCAGGGCTACGATCGTCGCGTCTGCCGTCGACCGGGTATTCGGGTACTCTCTGAGGCCGTGTATATTGTTTATTTAATACGAATAAACCTGGTAGTTGTTATTGTTATATGGAGTGTTTGATTCTTGATAGATGTGTGAATGTAAAGAGCTTTCCTTCCCCGTATTGCATGAGTCTTACAGGTAGACCCCGGACGTGCAGAACGGATCCACAGAGCCAAGGGACACACGTAACCGACGAGGTACGTCGGGGTGAGAATCGAGGTTACAAATGTTAAGTCATAATTATATTTTTTTACACCATTAATAATGATTTCAATACGAATTGGCTCTCAACAGAAAAATCAATTTTTAATTTTACCACAGTTTAAAGGTACAGTTTGAAGTGTTCTTTATAAAAAACATTGTCAGTGTAAAAGTGTGTTATAAAGGGTCTGGTGAGTCTACGAGAGTGTCCAAATTCAATAAGTATTGCGACTGTAAGTCAGATTTTAAAAGTAAGGAGGAATTGCTCGTATAAACGCAAGCACGCAAAATATGTATGTATAAATAAAAAAAAATGCGTAAATACCACGTGCATTTCCCAAGCTTCTTGCTGCAATGCTCTGGCAGGGTGACGTGCTACAAGCGAAGTACAACACTGTCGGAACGGCGCGGCCTGCGTGCAGTATACAATATGAGCAGGTCATACATATATAGGTTTGCAAATAGCAATAAACGCGCAATTCATCTGTGGTTGGGCGCTATATATGCTGCACGCCCGGCCATAAAAAAGAGGATGCATATTTTAAGTTCATTGAAATATAAAATACAAATTTCCGCTACAGAGAGCTTCAATACATGTGGGTTCATGCGTGTGTATGTGTGTATGTGTATATGTCTGAGTATATGTTCATAAATGTGCGCGGCTGTTTCTGCGTTGCTCGGCACATACATTTTTCGATATTTCAAATATGATGATCACAAGGGACAAGCAGAGAGTACTCACCAGTTTCAGCCAAGCATTCGTTGTCAATATTTGATTCTTTTCGTCCTACAACAAAAAATGGAATGCATTAGCTTTTTTCGTAGTAAAATGTGTCGGAGAAAAGAGTCGCAAACAATTATAAAACCACGAGTACAGAGCAACTCTTTTCCTTTACTATGTGAAATCTTGAAAAAGATAAAAGATAAAAAAGAAAAAATAAAAGTAAACAAAATAATGAAGAGAAAAAACCACAAAAGCTTGTTAAGTGAAAAAAGTTTCAAGTTAAAAAAATAAAACAACATATTTTATGGAGTACCAGAAAGAGAAATATTCTCTTCGAGTGTATCGTTTCTCAAAAGCTCACTCAAAAGTCTTTTGTATTGTAAATGAAAAGTAAAATGAGCTTGCAACGTTCCCGCTTTTCCTATTTCTCTCTTTAAGCTACCATTGACTTTTTGTATAATATTATATTTGATTGGTCTCGATTTTTCAAATTTGTTTCTTATAATATGTCACTTGATATAGTTTATTTGTTTAGTTGCATGCATAAATGAATGGGAATTCATAAAAAAATGTGCTCAGATATTGCTAATCCATCTCTGTTCTTTTTCCTAAATTACCCAAGCTTTCATCTGCCTCTCTCGTGTCGCTCATAAATAAACCTCGTGAATTTTTCTATATTTACTCATATGTACTCAACTTTTCAACTAGAGAATATTAAAGGCACCAAAAGCCGAGAGCCTGATTTTCTTCCGGAAGAAAGTCATCGAGTTGAAACAATGTCAAAAGTATTGACTAGTACATCAAAATCATAGTATTACGTACCGAGAATCAGGGGACGAGAAGCCATTCCTTTCCCCCTCCTCGTTAAATTATTAATTTATTATAATGATTTAACTTAGGGGGACGGGGGTTATTGCACACCTGTAATGCTTTCGTATAATACAAGTCAAAAAGTGACGACCGTGCTTGCAACGAATCAGTGTCAAGAAAAAAGTTTCAAAATTGAATTATTTTTTTTCAGCGTTGCTTCGTAGATTATTAATTTCTTCGTTAGTGTGCAGGACGGGATATAATAATATTTCATGCTACCCCACCCGAAACTAACCTTTTTCGTCCCTGCGGCCAAAACGAAAAAGTTCATTTCTGCTGGGGGATTCATGAAAAATAGTATACGCACCTATGAAGCGAAAAAAGAAAACCTCAGAGCTCGTGTTTATCAACCGCGGCTTCGCCTCGGCCGATAATTATACATGCTCTGAGGCTTTCCGGTTTTTTGCTCCCTAGGCACGTAATATACAATTGCGCCTTGGTGTCCGTAGCTTAACGCGAGTCAAATCCACGCGAATACGTACAATAAAAAAAGTATCCGGGAAAAAATTGTCTAAAGCGAGACAAAGCTCCGGAGATTCAAAAGCTCGCCTTTTTCCTGTTTGAGTTGTTGAATCTTCTTCTCTTCCTCCACTCGCCATATGTACATCAACAACAAAAACAAGAACAACAATCATGGTACGCATGTATATAGCACATAGAAATGCAGAAAAACATAGCGGGAGAAATAATTGCTCGACCACAAAACTGTACTGGTGACTTGGTGTGCGCACACAAACTCTTCCCTTTTTCTCTGACTTCTCTCTTTATCTCACTCTCTCTCTTCTTCGTCGAGCTGAGCTCGGTACAAACAAACAGAATTCGGAGTGCAGCAGGGCAGAGCTTGGAACGCATGTGTCGCGGAGCTATTAAATTACGCAGACGGTGTACTCGCTGATGTTTGTTTAACGAACAAAAAAGATCCCTCCTATGCATGTATATATGTAACAAAAGTTTCGCGCGCAAAGAATTTAAGTAGTTCTGCTTGGGCTGCATGAGGAAAGAGAAGGAAGGCACGCTCGAAGGAGGAAAAAGTTTTGAACGGCTAATGCATGTACGAATATATATATATATATATAAAACGGTAGTGGTTATCTTGAAAAATTTGCAGATTCGCAACTGTAGCAATGCTTGTTTTCTTTTTTCCAAAATTTGTTCTTGTGTATATAATACCCTTTTTTCAAAAGATGCTTATTTGAAGACATTAATGAAATTTTTGCGAGTATGAAGCCGCGCAATATCCCAATGTTAATTCTCATTTAGCTCTCGAAAGAAGAAATGTATGGGGGAGGAGGTGAGAAATTGGACAATCAGTGAAAACTAATAATACTTAACTACGAAGGTTAGTTTTACTAAACAACAAACCAGTATGATACATTTTACGATTTTATTGCAGTTTCCACTGCTTACCAGGTGTTTGAGGTTCAAAGATAAATCAATGCTTATCTAAGTTCAAGTGAAAAAATTAGTTTTTGTTAGTTCTTGATAGTCACGTAAACAATTCGGTCATGAAAAGTGACAGTATGACGGGTCTAAAATCTGTGCAAATGTTTTCAAAACTCGTGCGAGAAATTGAGCGTGAAGTTACACTAAAGTAAAACGAAGATCAACGATAAGTTTAATTCACGGCAACTTCGGCTGAAACTTGAAATTAAATTTTAATTTTCACATCTAAATCCCAAGAATATATGAAAGCCAATAAGAGAAGAAAACAAGCTGCATTAGAATGAATGAACATTTTGGAATATTCATGGAACATGAATAAGAGGTTAAGGTTATTATTCAAGCCAAATTACATTCGAATTCAAACAAATTAAAAAAGAAGTAAATGTTCTTACTGCAGCTCGCTGAAGATTGATCATTAATTTTAAATTGTTTTTATAACTCGAGGTGGTTAACTTTCTATTGAAACGTACGCTCTTTTATCACTTTAAATTGATTTGATAAACAAGAAATTAGCCCTAATGCAGTACATTATTAAGCATAATTTAGAATTCATTCTTAAAAAATAATTGGACTTTCAAAACATACGCTCGTATTTTTGGATCTCCGTTGTTTATACAAGAAAAATTTTAAAAATTACAAGGTTCACGTGTAATTTCAATTGGTTCAATTCATTCGTCGAGTCTCAGCAATCGTTACAGCTTAAATTAGGAATTGGAAAAAATTAAGCAACGCTTACAAAGTTCAAATTTTTTTCCGTCTTGACACACGAGTGAACTTGACTGGCCTCGAGGAAAAGTTTAAAGATAAGATCCGTGCGGAAGTGGCCGTGACACAATATATATATAGACTTATGAGACGACGTATAATATACGTGACACGTGCATATTCTGTACAGTGGTACAAACTATCTTTTCCGCTTTCCTCTTCAGTCCTCTCACTCTTTTGCCTCCGCTCGCGGAGGTAAACTTCCAAAGAGCCCGTTTAGGCCTTTTTCGCTTGTGGGGGCTACTTTTCTTTCGACCCTCGTTCTTAACGAGCTTTTGTAGATGCGCTTTTACCACAGCTGTCTTTTCGTTTTGAGACACGACACATATTATGGATAAGTGGAGTGCGTTTTCACCTCGATATATATTAATGCCTGTCCAGGTATACGTATATAAAAAAATGTTTAACCTTGCGCACACTGGCTCTTAACAAGCAATTAAATCAAATGGTAGATTATATTTTGGTTTACCAAGATTTCTTGAGAAGGAAAAAAATCTACAAGTGGCATTGCGAGCAGCCGTTCGTTAACTTGCTGCACTCGAGTACGCAACGTACACGTGTACAACGAATCGAAATGAAAATTTCTTTTATGAAGGATTTTTTCACGTTGGGCGTATAAAATTTTTCTCGCCTTCTTGAATATGTTAACGAAAGAGAAAGCCAGCAAACCTGTGAAAGCTTCATACTATAGTGGCTCAACAAACAATTAATTTATACCGTAAGCGTTGCCAGGCAGACGTTGGCTTCAGCAAAAGTATCAATTATTACGCTTGAACCTCGCAGGCATTGGCCGTATTTTTTTTATGTATCCATAAAAACTTGAAAATGATCCATCTCGAAAAGTGCTTTTAGGTCACTGATTTTAAATTTGAATACTCCCTCGTCTCTCGCTCTCTCAACGTCGCTCTTTTCCACCTCTCCTTTCTAACGGGAAATTGAGACTTAGACTCTTTCGCTCTGCTAGATGCTTTGCATATAAAAATTGTCGCCTCGGGTGTATATCTTCGCCTCTCTTGGACCACATATATAGATGCTACGCTGCATACGTATAAACGCGAATCTAGAGCAGAAAATTTTAAATTCCTCGCGTTCTGGTTGTCATTTTCACTGATTATCGTAACCCTGTCATCGATATTACCCTCATCCAGTAATTCCATCGTGTTTATTATTATTATTATTTTTTCCATTATTTGTCCTCGATGACTCGTGTAATATTCTATTTCTTTATTGACACAAATGAGCGAGTTTCTGGCGGCTTTTCAACAAAGCCATTCGTGCGATTTGAGCTCTCAAGCGTGTAGCCAAAAACCCAAAATACATCAATATCATATTTAAATTCGTAAGTGCGCATTATTGTTTAAACCATCAGCCTATATAATCGGATTTCAAGTTTTGAATTATCAATATGTAGCTTGGAAAAATATATTTATGTAAGGAGAATGAGTTTACACTCGACTAAAAAAATGGCATGGATACGCGCTTTTAATAGGGATCGCTCGCTTTTACAGAATATGGGCTTTCTGCCGACGAATGGATAAATGCGAGCTTTTAGTCTCAGTTCAGCAATAGGCGCATGAAATCATTAAGAGAAAGAGAAAAAAGATTTTTTCCTAGAATTTAAAAAATTTTTCTGTCTGCATAAATAATTGTTATCTTCGTCGTAAAAAATTTAAATTTTTGCAGAGTATGCAAGGAGATATATACTTGGAAAAAAGTAAATATTCAAAGATTTAGAGCAGGCTCAGTTAAAAATCCATTTTGTTGAAGGTAAGATTGAGTAACTCGATAATTTTTTAGAAAATAACCGCTTGGATTTCATTGTCAAATTATTTGAAATAGATGTATTTCATCTTTCTCTCTCTTTCTCTATCGCACATATACACTTATTATCACATATTTGGGTGAAATTGAAAGCTTTCAGAAGTGTAAAACGCTCAACTACATCTCTATCCCACTCTGCTCACTATTTTCAAATGTAAATTTTCGATGGCTCTTTTGATCACCCAAGATAAAGTTTTCTTACTCAAGTTTTTACAAAGTTGCATTGGCAGTTAAAACGACGACGAGATTCAATCTTATTTTATTTTAAATTAATCTCAATTTTTTTCTCGATCAAAGACTCATTTTTTCAAATGCTTTGGAATAAAAGAAACTGATTGAAGAAAGAAAGACGAATGCTTGTACTCAAATCGTTTTTGACGCTTATTTTTTCACGGTAATTTACGTTCAAAGGCAAATTTGATTATAAGAAGAAGGAAAAAATAGCGCACGAAAAAGTGTAGCCACTTATCTCTTGATAAATCTTGACACACTTATAAGAGGCTTGTACGCAAGCATAATCCCAGCAATCGTTATTCCAACTATTCCACTTCTGTTTTAGCTACTTAAATTCTTTTTTTTCTATTTAGTACAAAAAAATTAAATGCAATATTCAGAAAGAGTACAATATTTATCGAGTATGACATAGAATATTCAATATTGTTCTCGGCTTGGCTAGCTAAACTGAGCAATTTCGAGTGCGAGACGCTATAGTGAAAAGTAAGTTCCTCCAAATCATGAAAAAAACATGAAGTCTTATCGTTGAAGCTGTAAAATTTCAAAGGAGACACGATTCTGACCTCTTGGATGTTAGTTCTGCCTGCTCGTGCCCCGAGGCTACTGGCAGTAGAAAAATCATCAGTTTTTATGCCACTATTTCGGGCAAAAATTTTGCGAGGAAGAGAAGTGAATATTTTTTTATAGTCCAGCTTCGCACACGATGTACTTTGGCAAAAAAAAAGCAGAAAGGCTCTATCCGCGCAGTTAAATACGTAGAAAAAAATCTTCAAATTTAATCAGCTCAGATTTTTGTTACACGAGAAAGATAAGAAGACGATTTTAATTTAAAATTAAAAACTGAAGAGCGACAATCTCTTGAATTTCGCGTCGACTAATTATTATTCGGAGCTGCTAAATTATAACTAATTAACCGTTTTATATTATAAGTTTATTAAAAGTAAAAAGCACCAGAAGTAAAGTTTGGAAATTGTTGACACTTGGAAATTATACACCCAGAGTGTCATGAATATACAGTCGCCAAGCCCACGTTGAAAATTTAAACAATAAATTTTCGTATTCTAGAAGGCTAAAGTCTGCATTGGACGTATAAATGCAGAGGTGCATTCGCAAGAGACTATACTCTGAATGTAAGTGAAAAGCTATTCGAATCGGTAGCAATGGATTCTTATCGATAAATTTAATATCCGAGAGAGGCGCGAACATTGACTAAACGTATACCCAGTTGCAAGCTGATCTTATCTTGTATGCAAAGTATACACGTTTGTGCAGCTTTTCGCTGTCTTTGGATAAAAATATTGCCTTCAGTCGTATTTTTATTTTTACCGGAATTCTTCGATACATTTTTTCAGGTCGCTTCTAAACAATCAGCACTAATTAAAAATGATCAAATAGTCTATAAATTTATGTATTTCTACGACGATCTAATTGTTACTTTTTACACAAAGAAAAAGGTTACGAGTAATCAAGAGAAAATAATTAAAGTTGAGAAGATTGATGGTTAAATTCAATAGTTTAATCCCAATTTAATGATTTTGAATTGCAAGCGTATCATTTCATTCAGAACGACGAATTATGAACTGCTCATGAAATTTAAAATCTCCGTAAAACAGTCAGTAATGTGCATGTTTTCATCTAACCAGAGAATTTTCCGTTTAAAATTGTTTGCATTCATGAGTTTCAAAATGAAAATAAATTCATATTCTAGATTCATTATTTCATTCAGCAGAAATAGTACTGGCAGGTTGTCGTCAATTAAAGTTTCATTAGAAAAGGAAAAAAAAAATCAAAATTTCGCTGCACTATAAGAAAAGTAATAACGAGTATATTATAGATTAAACTCGATACGCAAAGTTCACGCAAGATTATAAAGAATAAAGTACGTAAAAATTTTATTTTCATACAGTGTAATTTGAAATACTTGATTAAATAAAATGAATCACCAAGTAGTAAAACCTAGAATACGGTCAGACGTCTGAGTAACTGTTACACGCCTATTTTATATACAAATCGAGTGAATCGTAGTAAATATTCTTCTAATCAGCAAACCAAGTTCAATTCTGCGATATACAGATCTACATGGAAAAAGTTTCTTTTTCCATTCTTTGTTTTTTCTTTTTTTTCTCGGCTTACCATCAGCATCAGCAAGGCGCGGCCACGATCGAAAAAAAGTTTCGAATTAATTAAAAGTCCAAACGAAGAAGTAGAAAAACACTATGCGGTCACTTGCGTTGAAGTTGCGGGCAGTGACCACTGCCTCGGTTGAGACACTCGGTTATCTCTCTTTGCTCCTGTAATTAAGTCTGCTGCACGAGCGCACCTAAGGACCCTTTTTCCGACATATATACTCCGGCTAGAATGACTTGTTAAAGTCTTAATTGAATTTCTCTGAACAGAATTCATTGGTCACTTGTTTCGATTCGTTTGATCCGTAACAATTTGTCGCTGCTTACATGATGCGATGTATCCATGTATACAAGATACATTAATTCGGAGTGAAACGTTACGTTACGGAAATTTTTCATACAGCTGCGCAGCACAAACATGCCAGCGACAAAGTTTCTCCTTCGCGCCTGCACGCAAAGTTGCGCCTATATGTATATACTCGACTGCTACAAGGTAAAGCACGGGCTGGAAATTGTCGTTTCCGCACTATCGAAAACTTTCTGCAAGTCCGATCTAATTAACTTTGAGCGAAATAAACAATGAGTGTTTTGCATAGATTTTACAAAGATAATTATAAATGATTGAAATAATCATCGGGGAAAGTGCGAGAAAGTTTTGGAAATTCATTAGCGCGTTGCAACGCAACAGACAGCCTGCCCCTCCTCCCCCTCGCGCAAAAGCTCCTCCATCATTCTTGTGTAATGCATACACAGCTCTTGCCTCGAAAGAAAACAAAAGCACAACTGCTGCTGCTCATTATTAAGGCACATTACAAATATTTTATAAAATGAAAAGTATCGGAGGAGCTATATACTCACCACGTCGATAATTTGCTGTAGCGTGATACCGAATTTCACTTGCAGCGGCTCGCTCTCGTTCTCCACTGGCCTCTCGAGCGTATTGTAATTTGCCAGCAGTTTGTTTAGTAAAGCCCGTTCGTACGCTCCACCAGCGACGTCTGTAAAAAAAGGATAAAAATGTTAGTGCTGCTGTTCATTTTAACTTGCATCAGTTTGGGGAATGTAACGCAGCTATGATTTTGTGTAAAAATATATTAAGGCGCATTGGAGCCTGCATACGTAGAGCGATCGACGCTATTTTTATTTTGAAATTTTTTGAAAATAATATTTTTTTCTAAAATCAAAGAGTTGAACAATAAACGATTCATACGTATCACTGACCTATGTATTCTAAACATGAGGAACCCCGCACAGAGATTTGGCGCAGCTTTATCGTTCTCGGACTACGCGCGATCGAGTTTTGCTAATTTTTTATTTTCACTCCGTGGGCAGAGTCAACTTATGACTTAATGGGAGACGGGGTTATCCACAAAATTCCACGTCAGTAGAAAACTCATCAAAGTCACTCAGATATTTCAAGACTGCTATGGTAACCGATTGAGAGTTTTTTCTTTCTTTTCTGTCTTATATCTTCTGGCCCAATAAGCCGCATAAATATAGATACAAACGTCAGTCGTTATTCTCACAAACTTTTATCAAAAGTTCAAAGCTATGTATAACTTTTTTTTAAAGCAGAAGGAAATCCATTTACAGACTCGGCATGCGACAGTAGTGCGTCGCATAAATGTCCGACTCGGGCAGTGTACGTATTATTTGTGTAACAAATACAGTTAAAAGAAGCATACCCATTGCATACAATATTTTACATTACAATAGCCTGAAAGTGGCAGTAAAGTTGTGATTTTCAGATTAGCCCACTATGTGCCTTCTATTTTTCTCTTTACCGGAATCGAATCACCTGTACAGCGTCGCTGCTTTATCAAGTGCGCATGTTGATTGTAAGATAATAAATGAATTTACGAACGTGTTTCCACACATGAATTAGAGTGATTAAATTGTCGCCACAAGCGATTAATACGTACTTGCTTGCGCGAAATGTCTAAGTTTTACTGCTCTGCACGCTGTAATTTTTTTAAATATCTCGGCCAACTTGATTACGACATTATTTTTTCATGATACAAGTAGCTTAATACGATATGTGTTGATTTTAAAATAATAATAATAGCAACAACAACAAATCAAATCAGAAGCAAAGCATATTGTTCTATTGACTAGAAATAACAGGCGCAATGTCATTCACGATTGTTATTCAGATTTGCGTGCTCGGCTGTGGCGGGCGCATACATAAGCGAAAATTGAATGAAATCCAAACACAACGCGCAACGTATAATATCGGTACTTACGCTGACCTCGCTTTTTCTCTCTCTCTCTCTCTCCTTTTCTCTCTAGATGCCAATATGTGTATGAAAATATATGCGTGTATGTGAGCGCACACGTGTGTCCTTTTTTCAATCTGCATTACGAGAAACGCGAGTATACTACGTGCACTTTATGTTCGCAGGCACGGCACGCAGCAGGCACAAGCGAGTGCTCTGAAAAGCCGTCTGCGTGACGGAGCTTTTTTCGAATTATGCAAAGGCTGCTACTGCTGCTGCTTTTTTCATGAGCTCGAGCGTTTATATACTTCATTGAAACGCAAACCGAAGGTAGAGGAGAGGAAATTCGTATACGAAATTTTTTCCACATTGGCACAATTCGGTGCCACGCGGGTTTTTGGCTAAAACGAGCTTTAATTTCTTTCTCGCATTGAAGTCAAAAAATTTTCGCTCATTCTGCAATAACAACGATCTTACACGTACTCGATGGGTTGTTTATTTTTTGTTTCGCAATTTGTCGTAGACCTTAGGCCTTTTTTTCTGGACGCGTGTGTTTTTCGCGAGGCTTACATGCATACGAATTACATGCATAATGTCCGAGCAAAAGCGAGCCGTACGTATCTCGCGCGTTTTAGAAACTTGCTCGTCCACACATATTCGAGCTTGCAACTACTATCAGCCACGGGCTTGAGCTCGCTCGCGGGCAACATATTTCCTGCACTCGTGCCGTATTACGTACGCAGAGAATATTTCGACTGCGGCGAGCTTGCAAGTATATACTTTGAAAATTAAAATAAATCGTGAATCTTTTTGGGCGACTTGCTTTGAAATGATTCAATCTCTGTTTCATAGGCACTAGAATTAATGGCACGTCGCTTGCGAGTCTCAAAATCTTTATGCAGTATATGCCTAGCTTTAAATGTATATAGAGCTTTTATACTCGTTATACATACTTTTAGGGAATATATGGCAAGGCGCGGCAAAGTACGAGCGAGTTGCAGGCGGCTCTTGAATCGAGCTTTCGACTAATTGTCTTCTCTTTCTCTCTCTCTCTCTTGCCCGGTATACGCCTTTGCAGCTGCTGCACGCGGCAAAATCTTAGGTTTAAATTCATTCGACGCCTATATACATATAGATGCACGAGCTAGGTATACATAGCCAGACTCTCGATTATTCTCCCGCACGCGCGAGCACAGCTCCATCAAGCAGCCTTGGGAGGTCGGCGACGTCGGCGTCGCCGAGAGAAGTATCTTTGAATTCAAAAGGGAAGCGTAGCGCTCCTTCATACAGCTACATACACATGCCATATAATGGCAAAGCTACAGAGTGAGAATTTCAAAATCGAGTTATAGCCAAGGCTCTTAGCGGGGGAGCAGCGACATTTTCAGCTTTGATGCGTCGACCCCCTGCGACGCGCCTCGACGCGCATCTATATACCACAGCCGAATATTCTTTTACCACATAAGCTATAATCTGACTTGCCAAGAAGAAAGAGGCTTTTTCGGGTGTATACACTCGCAAGAGTATAACAATATTTGGCTCGAATGAGAACAAACTTTTGCTACATTATTTGCATTTTTTACGGAAAAAAGCCTAACGTATATTGTATACGTGTGCGATTTGCATTTTTTCGCTATATAAAAGAATGTAACTTTTGAAAAAAATTGCTCTGCCTGCTTCAAATCTCCCTTCGATCTCTTCAATTTTTAAACATGCGTCTGTAGCATTGAAATCCGCAATCCTAGATCACGTATCGCACATTTATCAATTAATTTTCAATTGCTGTAAGTGACACATCAATCGTCATTTGCCCACGCTTAATCTTAGTAACACAGTCAGAAATCACACTTTGCTACGCAGGGCGAGTCATCAAATCGAATGACGACATGTGGATCAAATATTCCTAAATTATTATCGCTGATTTTCAGTTTTCATTAAATTAAAAATCCAGTGTTATATTTTCATAGCTTGATATCGGCGATTGCCAATTATTGTAGTTATTTCTTCCATTTTTTTGCTTTATATTTCCCGATAACTAAAAATGCACTCTCATAGGCGCCATTTATCACGAATTCACTCAGGCATGCACTGCCCGATGAAAGATAACAAAAAAAGGCTGGAGTCGCTAAAAATCGACCATTCATGGTTATACATTTTTCCAGTTTCTGCAGTAGCAAATAGAAATTAATTTTCATCGTTCGCACCGAATCAAAATTGTTTTTGTAAACATTTTTAAAAAAAATCGTTGTCGTCGTCGAATAGGAAAAGGCCAACATACGTTTATGTTATGAATCCTACGCGAGGTGCAGCATGGCCGAAGAACCGGTTGCTTTTCTTCTCGTGCAACTCATGGTGTGTATGAGTATAAGCGTGAAATGAGTCAATGGCTCTCGACGTATGAGAATCACATTGAATATTCATGATCGTTGTCGTCTGTACGCAGCAGAGGCAGTCAAGTCTCGACGACACGTTGATAGTAGCTGGGCGTGTGTATATACCTAGGCTGGGTATTTCAAGTGCATATATACCTCATGTGTATGTATATTTGGCGCTGCCCTTTTGCTGCCATATTCTCAATGTATTAATGTGAAATAGTTCAATGCATTGCGGTCTATATTTTCTGTAAGCCTTTCATCGATTTACCCATTTGCTATAATTCTGTGCTACGATGAATCGAGAATAAAAACCCGATAGAACATAAGGGTTCGACCTTTTAGCTTACGGATTATGATTGCGAGGGCAAAACCGTAAGAGCATATAACTTCTAAATGAACTGGAAATTAACGAATTACAAATTTACTTTCAATCAGCTTGTAATCGATAATAACACAAGTGCGTTTATGCAATCGCATTGACAGCAGTATTATTTGAATTTCAAATTTCAAATCCTACCTAATATTCGGCGTAACGCCGAGCGAACGAACGAGGACGACTGCAAGTATTATCAGGCATTTCAGATACAGAAAGTGGAAAATCAAATTATAATTCCGGGCATACAAGCAGTAGCTGCAATTGTATACCAAAACCATGGTGTGTGCACGCGCCTGCGTAGAAGCAGATCGTGCATTATAGTCTTTCCTTAAAAACCGACGAAATAAACAATCCGTACGTATCAACTAAATATAACTGAATATTTTTGTACCGTTTGAATTTCAATAAGTGACATCGTTTGGAGCCAAAATGAAATTCGAAATTTCACTATCATTTACATTTTTTCGCGGAGATAAGATCCTTTACTTGGTCTTCGTTAAGTACGTGTACAATCAAATAAATGTATGAGATGTACATTTTTAAGTACTCTTACTTTCCAAATTTTTCGTTTTATTTTTTTATTTCAACTTTTGTTATAGATCGTTTTTCCATATGATATTATTGACGTTTTATTTTCACTATAAGTTTTGTTTTGAAAGAAGCCAATAGAACCTCTTAAAATTCCTATCAGTTAGTAGCAAGTTTACAAATTAAATAATTCTTATTTAATCTCAATCTATGAAAATTTCAAAGAAATCTCTGAACGAATTGCTGATCATTTGTTGACAATTTGAAAAAATTGATGTTTTTCAAAAACGTAATGTAATTGTAAATAAAAGTGTCACTCAAATAAAGTGACAGAGGGACGCGGAGAGCAATGGATCTTAAAAATTTTTTCAGGTAATTTTATCACTTAATAATTATTTTGAAAACTTTTCGGCTTTGAAAAATGCAGAGTTTCACTTGGAAACTCAAATTGAACTCTATTTGAGAAAATTCAAGGTATAATTGTCGAAAGAACTGACAGAGGA